AAATAAAAATTAAATTTATTATTTCATTATTAAAAATTTAAAAACAAAATATATAAAATAAAATATATAAAATATATAATTAAAAATAACATATATAAAACTAAATTTTTAAAAAAAACTTAAATATTATATTTAAAATTAATAAATATTTCAAGATTCCAATATTATAAAATATATTCTGCAAACGGAATATTATTTATATAATGTGATAATTATGAGCATAAAATATGAAAATATATAATATATTAGAAAATTGTATATTTGATTTATAAAAAAAATTATTTTTTTTTAAATATTATCAATGAGAATTACTAACTTATAGTTTTTTTTAATAGATAAAATTTATAATGTATTATTCCTAATTTTATTAGTTATAAATCTTAAATTAAAAAATGATAAAATATTGAATTAACAATCACGTGATCATAATGAAGTTTGATGTGTTGATATTCAGGAACTGCAGCAGGAGTCCAACAACAATCACATCAACAGCAGCAACAACAAACAACAAATCGGGAATTAAGTGCACAATATGGACCTGGTCCAAGTTTACGACCCCAAAGTACGATTATATATAAATTATATTAAAAATTGTATTATTATACAATTTATAATATACAATGAAAAGATTTTTATATTATATAGTGAAAAGATTAAATATATATTATATATATATATTATATAAAATAAATATTATATTAGCGGAAGGAAGTTGGATACAAGGTGGAAGTCGTACAACCAGTGGTGCAGGAATAGGAACTACTGGTTCTGGAAGTGGGAATTCAGGGGTCCAGGCCCCCCCTTTAAATATCACTGGACCGGTAGGAGGACATACCGATTTATCTGGAGGCAGTCGACAGAACTTGGTCCAGTCTCCCAATATGGGTATGGCCCAGGCAGGCCCTCCTCATAATTCTTCAAACAGTCAAAATGCTTTAAGTTCTAATTCTCACCAAGTTGGTCCAAATCTACATCATTACAGAGGACTTATTCCTCCATTTGTAAGTTTTGCTTATACATTTTATCTATATTATCTATATTTTAGATAATTAACTATAAATGTATTAAATACACATACAGATGTACAGAGGGAACTTTTCTGGTGGATTTCCTTCTCAATTTCCGACAAACACAAGTTCTAGTGGGCCTAGACCTCGGTTCAATTATCCCTCAGAACGATTTCCTCCTCCATCTGTTCGTCAACAAGAACGCGAGCGCGTTCCCGAAGAAGAAATTATTACACGACCAATTATTAAAGAAGAAGATCTTACTCGAATGGACGATATTTCTCGTGATGCTGGCTGGGCAGCACATGATGATATTGATTATAATCAAAAACTTACCTTTAGTGACGATGAACCTGATCCTGAACCTTCGAAGAAAGATGAAAAAAAGGACAATAAGGAAGAAAAAATAGAGGAAAATTCAACAGATGACAAAGAAAAAACAAGAGATAACCGTGATAATCGTGATAATCACGATAATCGAGATTTGAAGGAATCCCGAGATCAAGCTACTCATCGTTCATGGACTCAGAGTTCTTTATCCCGTGATTATCGTGGTTCCAACGGGTCTGGTAGTTATAGCGGTCAGTCACAACTGCATTCGGTGCATTCTTTGAGAGGTCAGAACATTTACGTGACTTAGGTGCAAATCTATAGAGTTGAATTCATTTTCATTCATACCAGTTATGTATTGTGTTATATCTCATAAGTTTGTTCATGACATTCGTCTTCACTTTGAAAACAGGTGTAGAAGATGATGAAGCGTGGAACGAGAGACGCAGACTAAAAGTTGTTGAAGTAGCATCTGCTGTTGAACGCGCTCGACAACGGAAAGAAGAAGAAGAAAAACGATATCAGGAATCGACTAGACAAGCGGCAGCTAAAAAATTGCAAGATTTAGAACAAAAGTTAAAAGAGAAACAAGCTAATGAATCAAAAGGTTTAATAAGTGTTCCACCAGTACCGATTCCAGTTCCTGAATGGGAACGAGAAAAAGAAAATAGAGAACGAGAACGATCTGAAGGAAAAGATGAAAAATCTATAAATATACGTGAATTGCGTGAAAGTAGAGATGGTCCAAAAGACAACAGAGATTCGCGTGATCAATTATTATCTGATTTTCGACAAACAGATCGACAAAATTTTACAAGACAAGATAGTAATCGTAATGAACGTGAAAGAGAGCGAGATCGCGATCAAAGGGATATCAGAGATCGTGAGCTACATGCTTCATTTTCTCGATATTATAAAACCAATTTACCACCTCGATTTCAAAAACAACAGGCAGAAAAAATTAATGCTGGTCTTAATCGAGTTTCTCCTAATACTGAAAGATCAACTAGCCAATCCGTTCCATTCTCTCAGCAGTATGATCCTGGTAGATGGGTTCATAATCACAGTTCTTTAAGTAAGTGCAATTTTAGTGATATTCGTTTCTTCTTTTTTTAATAGTTATTTGGTGCTAACTTAAATAGCTATAATCAATGAAAGGAATATAGTGAAGTCATATATATATAATCATATTTAATCAGGTATTAAAGCATATTTGGTAACTTCGTTTAAAATTAGATGTCAATTTGTTTTTTATATGATGTACAATTCTTTTAATATGTAGTATTGTTTTTTAATTTATACAAAATATTAATATATTCGTGGAACATCTTTGAAAGATTGATTTTAAAATCAAAACAAACAAAAATTTATATATAAAAATATTGGTTAAAATTAAGTCATAAGTAATTGAAGTTTGCATTAGATGAAACGAGATAAATAAAAGAAGAATATTATACTGTTATCTTGCTTTATGTCTCGCTTTATTTAATTTACTTAGCTTATATTGTTTATAATTTAATAAATGAGATTTAACCGATATTTTTATATATCAACATTTATTTGTTTTGACTTCTAGACTTTTCAAATATTCCACAAATATATTAACATCCTATAGATTCCACTATATCACTTCTACTAACTATATACAAATTATGCATGCATAATCATATTTAGTACTGCCTCATTAACTATCGCAGAGAAATGTAACAATTATCATGCTAGATAAATATTTCGAGAATTATGAATGTTAATTCTTGATTTCTGAATTCATTCATCTCTTGAATTAAGAAACATGAAATGTAATAGAAAAGTTATTCTTATAATATTTGTTTTTTTTAATTATTACTTTATTATTATTAATTATTGAATTATTATTAAATATAATAATTCAATTTTATTCAAATTATTCAATTTAATATTATTTTCATTGAACAAATCTTAAACATATTAAAACATATTAAACACTTTTATTAAAGTATAGAAATTTTATTTTTGTTTTGTTTTGATTTATTATTAAGATAAGTTAAGGTAAATTACGATTGTGCATTAAAGATAATACTGCTTCATTTAAGCAGTTTCAAAAATTTTTGAAATTGAAATATTTGACAATTAACAAGGCATTACTATATATTTTTATTATATAGTACTTACTTTTACATATATTTACAAATATATTTCGTTACAAATATACTCGCATACAAAATTAAAGAAATATTAAATTTTTATTAAAATATGATTAATTTAAACTATTATATTTTATGAAAAAAAAAATGTAAAATAATTTTTGTTTATTTTAAAAGATGAAATCTTTACTTTTACATTCCTAAATGTAATCTTTCTAAAAATTCTTTTTTATTGCAAAACTGAAAAATGAAGCTGAAGTTAACTTTTTTCTATGATTTTTTTTTTATATGTTCTTATTATAATTTAAATGAAAAGTTGATTGTTGGCATTGAAATTTATTATATAATAATATATAATATATAATAATAATAATAATATATAAATTAAGATTGGCATTGAATTTTATTATCAGATTGCGGTAAAACTTATATCTCGTATAGTATAGTATATTTGTTTAATGTGCATATATACGTGTTTAATATATTGTATTTTTAATTATTGTATTTTATATTGTATTTTAAATTTCATTAGAGTCTAGAGTCATTTGAATTTTTAAAAAAATAATTTCAGTTTCGCATTTTGTTTTGCAATAAAAAAGAATTGAAAAAATCAAGAAGTAAAAATAGAATTTTAAAATCAATCCAAGTAAATTGTTATACAATTTTTTTTCACAGAATTATAAAAGTTTAAATATTAATCATTTTTCGGCGAAAATTTTACATATGAATATATAAAGTGTTAATATATTTGTGAAATTTTTTTGCAGAATCAATTCTAAAAACCAAAACAAACAAAAATTGATATATAATTAAGATTTGTTAGTCTTTATTTATTAAGTTATAAGCATTTGAAGTAAAACATTAGATGAAGCAAAATAAAAGTAGAATGAGACTAAATATCTTTATATCGCCATCATATTTTGTTCTTTATCTATGAAATTAAATTGCTTATAACCTAATAAATAAGCCTTAATTGATATTTTTATATTATATATCAAATGTATTTGTTTTAATTTTTATATTTGTTTTAATTTCTAAAATAGAGTTTTTTAAGATATCCGAACATATTAATATTCAGTATACAAGTGTGTTTAGATGAAGAGAGAAGAAAATTAGTAGAAATAATGAGTAGAAAATTTAAGAAATGATTTTAAAAACCAAAATGAGACAAAAATGAAGAATTTTATTTAATATTTTATTTTTTAATTATTGAAAATTAAATGTGAAAAATTTTTTAGGCATTTCTTTAACACAAATAATTTTTTTAGGTATTTCTTTAACACAAATAAAAAATAGTGGAATTATAGTAATTTTCAAATTCAATAACAGATTATCGATAGTTTATCTTAGAAAAAAAAAAATAAATACATATAGTGCGATCATTTATAAAAAAAACTTAAATATTTATTTATTTAAAATCATAGAATTTATTTAAAATTCATTCGACTTATCTATTTTGCCGAAATCTATGAGAATTAAAATCAAATGAAATTTTTGTATTTTTTATTTTTTTCTCATTTTGATTTTTCACGTCATTTAGAATCATTCTTTAAATTTTTTACCTATTTCATCTGAACACCACCATATCTATATGATGTTAAAAGATATGCAGGATATATTTGAAGGATCAATTCTAGACATTAAAATAATAAAAATGTTGATATACAATGTATTCATGTTTTCAGCGTTTTTTTTTTTTTTGTGTAAGCAGTAGATTTTAGATAAAAAAAAAGCAAAAGTTTTATCATTTTTTATATATAACATTTTTTATGATAATCAGATTAAATATTTTAAATTTATAATAGTTGTGAAATGACAATTTCATAATTTTTTTAGATTGATACATTTCTTTTTATTCGATTATATAGCGTCGAATTAAATTCAATAATCTATCATGATTAATATATTTTAATATATAATAATGGGAAAAAAATAAAAATATTGGATTTTTTGCAGTTTATTCGTTAACAAATTTTCAATAACGAATAAATTATAAGAATTTTTGATATTTGAAAACTGATTTTCATCCATTGAAGGCACATTAATTTTCATGAAATTGATATAACGAGTCATGATCGTTCACTGAATTCGTAGCCGTTATCATGAAATATAAAAGAAATATTAGTATTAATTTAAAAAAAGTCATAACATTATTATTTTATTAAATTTTATTGTAAATTTAAAAAATATATTCTGCTCATCATGTTGCATATAAAAAATAATGATGAAACTTTTAACTTCTCATTACTATTTTTTTTTTAAATTTAGTGCTTGCAAAAAAAATATTAATAACTGAACATTTTATATAAACTTATTTTTTAATAAGCAATTTAATTTTGCATTAAATACACTTTTTAGATATATGTCTGATTCGGCTATTCGAACGATAGAAAATATTTAATAATAGAATATAAAAATAATATATTTTAATAATATATTCTAGAATTATGTAAGATTTCTGAATTAAACATTTTTGAAATGACTTATATATATTAATTCAAATATACAATTAACTATATTTTAATAAAAACCAAAAAATTACAATTAAACAAAAAAATTATATGTTGTTGAGAAATTCTTTAAACATAAGCATTCTGAGATAACATCGTAGAGAAATAATCTATTTCTTCAATTACATTACATTATATTATCTTATTTATTGATATTAGACGCTCAAATAATATATATAATTATTTTTATAAAATATTTTAGAATAATTTTAGAATAATCGAATGCATTTCTTTCAAAGGATTTTTTTTAAATTAGGCATAATATATATATTATTATAAAAAAAATTTACGGTATTTTTTGATATAGTTATAAAATTTTTAATTCAATTAACTTTTATTCAATATCATACTTTTATACTGAATTATTTCAATGTGCCATACTTCATAAAAAATTATAGATAAATTTTTTATATTATATTTAGTCTATTTATTCATAAAAATCCATGAGTCAAAATCTTTGACATGATTTAATTATTGGAACAACAGATTGTCAATCGTGAAATATTTTTCTGCGTGAAAATTATTTCTGATAAATAAAAATTAGATCTTGCTTTCAAAGATGGATGAAATAGAATTTTTTAATTTGATAAGATAAACGATATTATACTTATAATCTTATAATCTTCAATATTTATTTCAAATTTTTTGAAAATTTAATTTAAAATAAAAATAATAGTTGTTTCGTAAACGATTTAGATTGCCTATGAAAAATACAAAAAATATACTTATCCAGAGTTAATTAGCTAGAATTAGCAATAATTTGAATAAAATAAATGATATTTTTTTATTATTTTGTTGAAATGATATACATATTAAAAAAAAGTTATTCATGCAAAATTAAAATATATATCGATAAAAACTTATTTTATATATGTAGAAAGTAAATTGACAAATATTTTTAATCATATTTTATTATTATTTCTAGAACTAATTTTTAAATCATATATTTTGTATTTTATATCATTTTAATGAATTTTCAATAAACGATATAATATATTCTTAAAAAGCCATATTATTTTAAAATATTAAAATTTAAAAAAAAAACTAATATTTAATAGAAAATAAAAAGAAACAGATTGTATATTGATTATTTGAATGTATATAAAATATAAAATGACTGATCGATTAAAAATACCAAATATCAATATTGTGATTATCTAAAAGATCCTATTAAGTTTATATATTTCAACTTATATATCCATTATACAAGTTTAATGAAGCAAATCATGTTGTCAAATTATGTTACCATATAAAATTTTCCATTTATAACAAGTTTGAGCACAGATTCGCAAAATGCAATAATAAAATAAAAATATAACGATCCAATATAATGAGGCTTAAAAGACCGAAATTATAATCAAAATTACAATAATAAATATTAAGTACAAGATTAATATCTCTATTATTATAACTTCATTCATAATAATTTCGATTCTGAAGACTCTGAAAATTCTGGAATACTCAAATTTGCTATAAATATGAATAGAACTAAATAGTGATATTAGTGATATTAGTATATTTTGAATGCTGTATATATTTGTCATGATGTAACTGATATAAATAATAGAAATGCGATTGCATATTAATGCACATGATTTATTATAGATTTATATAAAAAGATAAAATTTAATATAATAGTAGCAAGAATTTTATTTCGAAAACTATGAATTTGTGGTAGATATCAAATTATAAATATCATTCTTAAAGCATAAGTTCGATCAAGCTATCGTATGCATTTTCATACCCAAAAAATTTTATTTTCAATTTTTAGTTATAATTAATTAAAAATAATAATTAAAAATGATCACTAATTACGAAAATATATTAATACATATATTATCTAAAATATGACTATGTTCTATCATATCATTTAATTTTTTAAGAAAAGTTATTAACTGCAGTAAAAATTAAATATCGAAGTAATTTCCTGGATTTTTATCAATTTATATCTGATTTATAGAAATTTCAATTGCGTATTTTTAAAAAGAAATCTGAAAGAAATGCGAATTTAAATTTCTATTTTCAGTACAATTTCTATTTTCAGTACATTTCTAGTTTCAGTACAATCAGAAAAAAAAAATAAGATAATATAGATTAATATAAATATTGAATAAAAAAAATTCGAAATTATTTATTAATTACTTATAAATCTTGAGAGTTCTTCTAAATCTTTCTAAGATTTAGAAATCTTGACAGTTTCTATATTTCTTCTATAATAGAATCAAATCGAACATATAAAAAATAAATAAGAAAGTTTGAAAATTAAAAATTGGAGAATAAAAAAATAAATATGCATATATTATATCAATCTATATTATTGATATAATATTTTTATTACTTTAATAAAAATCTTTTTTTTTTTTTACTTATTGTTCTTTTCTATATCTGATTTGATTTTGTAAGTAAAATAATAAATATTCCATTTTATTTATTTACTTCAAAACTATTCCTTCAAAAAAATATTTTAAATAGAACTTATTTGTTTTCAAAAGGGAAGTAATTTAATAAATTTGTCTATACATGGATATGTGTAAAATATATATAGATCAATATTATTTTCTTAACAAGGAAAAATTCAATAGAGTATTATTTGATAAATAGAGTTTGTTTTTTATATAATAAATTTTACAAATTTCAAATTATATATCAAATTAACATTTTTTAATTAATATTTTTTCAATATAAATAAGTTAATACTTTTTTGTAAAAAATAAAATGCATCGATTAATGCATCAAAAATTATAATTCTTAAATTATAATAATAATCTTTATATATCTTTCATGCATCTGTATATAAACAAACTATACTAAATTATTTCTCTTCCGGATATGTTTCTATTTGAAACATTTTTTTTTAATAACGAATAATTTTAAAGATAATTTCATTTATTGAATAGAATGAGATAAATTGTATACGTATAATGAAGAAGCGAGAATATAACAGTAACAGTCAAGATTTTAAAAAAAGATAATCATGCAATAAAAAAAATATTTTTATAATTTTCATTCTTTTAATTCTTTCGATTAAAATAAATTCAAATACAACGTTAAAATAATTTTATTAATAAGTAATTTTCTTTCGTTCTTTTGAAATGTCATTTTTTAAATATCAGTACTTGATGTTTATCTTTTTTAATTATATTTTTTTTCATTTCGTTGAGATAAAAATAGAATTTTTCGAATCAATAGTCGAAAATAAAATTTTCTTATTCTATTAATTTTAATTTTATTAATTTTTTAATTGAAAATTTAATGGTTTACTATTATATTATTACGATATTATTGTACCATTAAAATGCAGTTTTATTTGTATATTTATCTAATATTATAATCTAAAAAAAAACAAAATTTTACTACTATATTTGAAGATTTACTTATGTTATACTGTCTGCATACAGATATGTAAAATAAAATTGTTTATAATTTTAAAAATGAACATTTATCATTTTTATATATCAATTTATTGTTTAGAATCGATCCTCTAAAGATATATCTTGTGTATATGATGTATGTATATTAAAAGATGTATATTAAGATGTGAATTAAAATCAATTTATTTAAATATTTTTAATAATAATGACAAATATTTTATATTATTATTCTTTGAAATTATTAAATTTTTATTTGAAATATTATTAATTATCGAAATAGAATTTGATCGATTTCAGTGACCTTGAAATATGTTGGCAAAATCTGGCAAAATATTCCGAAGTTTTTCTCTGTTAATCTCCTATCAATCTTCAGAAAAAAAATATTCTTGACACTATATATTTAATATTACATATTTTTTAGGGCTTATGTTCGGATTTGAATTAGATTTGGATTAATTTAAATTAATTTGAATTTATAAAATCTGAGAAATATTCAATTTATGATTTAGCGAAGTAAGGCCTACATTACATCGATACATTTAGCTTAAGTTTTGATTACAATTAATGAGAGAAGCAGAACTTTTCAACAAATTGATTATATTTATTGTTATATATATGAAAAATATAAATATTTTAACTATAATAATCTTAAGATACATTAAATTTTTAACATTTGTATAATCATATTTTAATCCAATCAAAACTTAATTTAATAAAATTTAATAAAAGATAATCTTATAATTTGTCTTGAAAGTCCTGATTCATCTTCCATGAAATAGTATTTAGATAAAAATAATTAGATAAAAATCGTGATCGCTATGAGATTGTCTTCGTTATAGAACTAAACTATAATATAATTTAACTTAAATTTAATATTTTAATTTATAAAGTGTCAGAAAAATATATAATATTAATGAAATATAATATTATCTTTTAGTAATAAACAATGAACGATGACTAAAACCTAATTGAGAGAATGGCCTCTACATATATTAAAGTCATTGGAATTGATCCCTTGAACTATATAATTACTTATAAATGATATTAAAAATATTCTTGCTATTATTTCAAAAAAGTTCTTCAAACCAAGCAGCAGTTATATATAAGGAAAAGATGTTTAAAATGTTATGAAAAGATGTTTAAAATGACCTTAACAACATATGTCATTGAAATCAGTGAGGTGTATCTTATTTTTAATAATTATTATATCTTTTAGTATTAACAACAATTTTCAAAATATTTAAATCTTACATTCTATATATGTATTTTCAATATAAGTATATTATATATACTTATACATGTATATACATTCTTATATTGGAAAAATATATGGATTATTTACAAATATTTGTTGTACTACAAGAGATTGAATTGTAATTTGAGGGATTTAAATTTTTAAAATCTTTAATATATTTTTATTTTAGCATATACAATCCAAAAATAGCTCTTAATAGAATTCAATGATTCAAAATTGATCTATATGTAATTTCCCATTTTTAAAAATTTTTTAATGACTGATTGAACTCTTAACTGATTTAACTCTTGAATTCTTAAAACATTTAAAGGATTAAAATATCATTCAAATTAACTTTAGATAAAAAATTCCTGATTAAAAATTTATATGATAAAATTAATATTATAATATACAAGATATTCTATTATTCACAATGTAAAAGATAGATTTTTCATGAAAAAATAAATTTAAAAAAAAATTTTTTTTCATTTAAGATTTTGTTTTCATGTTTGAATATTTTTTGAGTATAAAAATTTACTAATTTGCGATTGGATATAAATTAACTATCAATAAAATTTTATTTTATATGTGAAAATAATTACAAAATATACAAAAATATAGAAAATATATAATAATATAGAAAAATATAGAATAAATTTTTTTCATTTAAAAATTAATTTTTTAAAAAATTTTGAAAAATTTTAAAATATATAATTGATTCCTTGATTATGTATTATCTTCAATTTTTATTTTCTCAAGAACTTAAGTAATCAAATTTTTTTTTTTCTTTTCGATTTACTTTTATGAATCTATCTAACTATTATTAATATAACAGAACAATACATATATAAACTATATAAATATTTATTCAATAGAGATACATTATTATAAATTTATATTTTATAAAAAATATACAAAATTATCATCATGATATTATTCTCGAATTCAATCATAATAAAATTTAAATTACGTTAGATTTTAATTTCTATCATTATAAGATGGTTATAAGCTATACCATATAATATAATTCAATTTGCCTACATTATCGTACAATTTGAATTTTTTCGGAAATCAATTTGAATTTAGTGCATATTGTTGTTTTTATTTTAAAAAAAATTTGATGAAAATATAATACATTTCTATATAATTCTATATAATACAATTCTATATAATTAGAAAAATTTTAAAAAATTTGCATGAAAATATGTTTTGAATCATTGATAATTAAATGATAAAGACTTATCATTTTCAGATTCTAAATACTGAAATTTATGAAAATATAAAAAAGCTTACAAATTTAAGCTTACAAATTAGTTTTTTTTCTTCATAAAATTAAAGTGATTAAAGAATTTATAATTAATATTTTCATTTTGAATAATATTTTTCAGTTTGAAATAATATTTTTTATTGTTTCCATTTATATATAAAAAAATTCCTTTTATTATATTCAATGTAACTTGTAGACAACAATGGAAACATCACATGCTGCATCACAATATTGAAATAGAACAGATTCAAATATTTTCATTTCAATAGATGATGATCGAACTCCATCTCGAGATTATCGTGGCTCTCTACTTCGAGATGATCGATATCGTCATTCTACACATCGATCTTATGACATACGCAAAACAGGCGGATATTATGATGAATATACTCGCAATTGTAGAGATCACGATTATGATGATAGACATTCTCGTGATTCTTGGGAACGCGAAAGATATTTTGATGATAATAAGGATCGAGAGTTAAAGGATAACACAGAATCTAGAGATATCAGGGAGACTCGAGATATTCGTGATAATCGTAATGCTAGAGATGTGAGAGAAAGAGATAATAAGGATAAAAAGGATTACGATAATTATTTAAAGGTATATATTTTTTATTATTTTCTATATCATTTTGTTAATTTATTATTATGATATTTATTATGATATAATAAATATAATGATATTTAATTAAATTTTCGAAATTTATGATTATTTGTAACATTTGTTTATTTGACAATGTATTAATAATATAATGAATGTCTATATGTTATATTTTTTTAAATATATTTTATATTTATTTATAGGATCCCTTTGATGATCGTAATCGTGATCGTGATCGTGATCGTGATCGTGATCGTGATCGTGAACGTGAACGTGAACGTGAACGAGAACGAGAACGAGAACGAGAACGAGAACGTGAACGAGAACGAGATCGAGATCGAGATCGAGATCGAGATCGAGATCGAGATTGTGATCAAAGAGAAAGATCGGAGAGTTCAGAATGGCGCGAAGAACGTATCATTCAAGACAGAATAATCGATAATCGTCGCGATACCCAGAGAGAAGAACGAATAGAACGCAATGAACGTCCACAGAGACCAGATTCTCGCGATAGTCGTGCTTCTCGAGAATCGAAAACATCTTTACGAGATGAAGATTCACATAAATTACGAGATTGTACTTCGTGGGTAAATGAAGTTGCCGATTACGAAGAAAATAAACGTGATGCGTATCATGAAGATATTCGAGAAAGAGAACGAGAAAAAGAAAGAAGGCAACCACTAGGACCTGTAACTAAAGAAAGAATTGAGGCGGATGAATTAAAAAATGAGAAACGTAATTTAACTCAATTAAAACGAGCAAGTTCTGATCAAGACAAAAAAGATCAAGTTAAAGAACCTTCTTTAGAGATAAAAAAAGAAATAGATGTTTGGAATAGAAAAATTGATCGAGTTAATGAAAATAATAGAATAATAGAAAGAGGTGATAATTCTCCAAAAGCATGGGCGGATGCTATTTCTCCAACGTTTGAAAAAGAAGAAGAAAAAACTTTGGAACCTATTAAAAACGATAAAGACTCGGAGGATTTAAAGCAAAACTTTGATAAATTAAATTTAGATAAAAGAGAAGATACATTGAGTGAAGACGTAATAATAGAACAACAAGTGAAAGAAGAAAAACGAGAAAAAAATATTCGAAACAGAACTAGCAGTGGCGGATCAAGTTCGAGAGTGCGAGATTCTCGAGGTGGTCGTCAATGGGGAAGCACATACAGTGTATATGCTCGAGGTTGGCGTGGTCCAGAAACAAGAGGACGAAGGGGTGGTCCTAGAACTGCCGCTAGACCAGCTTCTGCTAGAAGTGGTTCCTATGGACATACAGATTCAGAAAATAGTGCCGATGAAATATCTGGTTCGACCGAATCTGGTAAAGAAGAAAAGAAATCGGTTAGATCACCAAAGCCTAGTCAAAAAACAGAAAAAGAAGAACGCAATCGTGAAGTAATAATATCTAATCGAGATGAAAAACGAACCGATTATTGTCAATCACAACGTAATGAAAAACGAACTTATGATAATAAAGTGAGTCGTGAAGGTTTTGCACCTTCGGGTGAACCATCTCGTCGTGGCCGAGGAGGCAGTTTTCGAATTCGAAGCACAACTACTACTGGTAATCGTATGGAAGGATATGGACCTCCATCTTGTAAGAGTCCTTTTTCTTCTGAACGTAATATTGATGAAAAACAAAATTCTGAAAAATTGCGACAAAATCCTTCAACACCTACTCCAGAAAAAGAAATAAATTCTTTGATATCATCACAAAACGAATCTACTGATGATAAAATTATAGCGAAACAACAAGCACTTACTGCTGGAATAACTGGAAAACGTGCGAAATCTCCGAATCAACAATCTCAACAAACTCAACAATCTTGTAATAAACAAGATGGAAATCATACAAGCAACAATGTTTCTTCTCAAAAGATACAAGTTATAAGAAAAGATGAATCACGCTCAAAAAGAACTCGTAGTGGAAGCAGAAGGGTAAGTTTTTCGAATAATAACAAAAAATTCAATTTTCCCTTTCTTTCTTCTTTTATTCCTTCATTCTTTCTCATTTTATAATTAAATAAGAGTACTTGCTCTTAATCAAACATTTAAATCTTTATAATATCAATTATATGAATTATAATTAAATACAAAGTAAAATACGATTACTCTAACTCAACATTTTTTTATTGTAATTGTCAAAAATAATATTAGATAAGAGAATAAATATATTATATTATAAATATATTATTCAACCATATATTTAAAAAAATTATATTTTTTAAAAGTTTTGCATATGTATTAATTACTTTATATGCATATCTTGAGTTTTTATCTTTATTCCTTATATAGAAAAAATATTGCTTAAACTTGATTCTGAGATTCTCTTTTTTTGATATTTAATTCAAAAAGAAAATAATTAAATTTTTTTACATTCTAAATTAAGAATGAACATGTAATAGATAATAAAATAGTGAAATTATGTAAAAATTTATTTTTGAAATTATAATAAAAATACGATGTTTGGAATATATCTATATCCTACTGGTTATGAAAGTTAAAAAAGATAAATTTAAAAAAAAATTATTATTATAAATTATTATTATTATATTATTATTATAAATTATTATAACAAATTACAATTATTACAAAATAATTATAATAAAAAAGAATATTTATATATAAAAAAGAATAATTATAATATAAATTGATTCATATTCTTTTTATCACTCGTATAAATATAGAGAATGAAAATAGTTCTCAAAGAAATAAAAAATATAATGAAAAATAACATTTCCTTCAATGTTTCTGGAACTATCCATACAATATACAACAAAATAATTATAGAAGAATTATATATTTTTTAATAACGAAAGTTAAAAAATAGATATTAAAAAATAGTTAAAATTTTGAGGATTAAATAGACATTTAAAATTTATTAATAATACAGTCGTATCGGATTAAGGCATATCCGAATTAATATATTATACCAAAACTTTTTTATTAATAACTTAAAAATTAATAAAAATCTGAAGTTAAAATTTTATATTTATAATTTTATATCTTCTTTTCTTTCTTTTCTTTTCTCTCAAAATTTTAATTCATTTGACTAAGGGATGCATATTACATACAATGTAATATAATCTTGTAATATATGATGATCAATGTAATATACAATGTGCATAAGATCTTGCGAACATGCTTTCAATTTAGTTAATAATCAAAGATATAAGATCAAAGATAATATCTCCATTATAGAATAATAACTAGATAATAATCAAATTTTAAACTATGGTAATAATTCTCTATATCTTTTTTCAATTATAAATGAAATATCATACATATATATCATTATAATAACATGAAAATCATATTTATTTTCAGATTACATATTTCTTTATTTAACTTATTTTAACATATATAAAGTTATGATTTACACACTTACAATAAAATTATTTTTACAACGACAAAAAAATTTAAAATTTGATTATTTTTAGTATTTCATTTTTAACAATTTGAAATCATGCCTTTCGTTGTTTATCTTTAGAAACGGATACAAATTTTTTTTGTATGTACTAATTCAATTATTTCATTATTTCATTGTGGAATTAAATATCATTTATAATTTTTTTTTTATAAACTTCCATTATATTTATTAAATTTAAAATTAGAAAATAATTTTGAAAAATGAAAGAATTATTATTATTCATATATAAAGACATTTTTCTTCAGATATATTCGGTACGGTAATGAAGACATTAAATTTTTTAATTTTTAATTATTTCTAATTTTTTTATTTTTCGTAATTTTTAAAAAATACGTGTTTAAAATTTTTCCAAAATTCATTAATTATAATTAAAAATATGTATATACAAAATTAAAATTTGTTTTACATGAAATGAAAGTGAGTTTTATTTTCATTATATTGTTATCGTAGCGACATCAAAGATCGCGAAAAATCTATTCTTTAAAACCGTGTATTTATTTGCTTAATATATATAAATATATATATAAATATAATATATATAAATTATATCTCATATTCAACATATTTTCTACGATATATATTGCTTAGATTTGTTTGTGCTCAGTGGCATGTAACCAACACTGCTGTCATGATTTGATTAGACTATGCATTCTATGATTAGTCAGTATTTTTTTTTAATAACTCAACGAATTCAATAATTTAACAAAGATGTAATAATAAATTTTACAAAGGAAAATGCTGTTCTGACGAATTTATAAATTATAAAAACATTAATTTATCAAAAAATATAATTATTTCATTCTTATTTCAGAAATACGAAAGATATAATGGACCAAATAATGATATAGAGCATTTTAAAAATAGTTGTTTACTTGATAAATATTATAAATGATCGGAAATTAATTGGTATCAATATATTCATATTAATTATATGTATTTCAATAGAAATCCACTTAATGCTAATAATTTAGAATTGATACGAATTACATCTTTCACTGGCAATATGAATGTTTTGCTGATTAAAATCGTCTATTAGCTCCTATAATGACAATGAATGTTTATTCATTTCACATTATTATAAAATATATCATGTCTTATTCATATATAAAGACAACTGAAAGTTGTACCTATGTCTGCTGTTGTATTGTGAAATGAACGATAGTTATGAATACATATGTATGCCAAAGCTGATCAGTTGTCGATCAAGTGCGGTGGTATCAAATAGCCAACATTTTTAAAGGAATGCCGCGTATGTTATAATGAAACATTCAATTGCAAAATTTAATTTTCTAACTTTCATCTTATCTTTCTAAAAGTGTATTAAGATTTTTTTATTGTGCTTTAAGATTTTTTTACAACAAATTTCATATTACGACAGTTTTCTCAAATTCCAAAGAATTCATTATTCAAAAATTCCATAAATTTTGATATTATGTTACAATAATCTAATAAAATCACAATTATTAATAATAATAAATAATAATGTAATAATAATGAAGAAAAATAGGATTTAGTTAATAATGATATCCATATTATTGAAAAGATTAAATGAATTAAGCAATTATATTAAATGAAATTATTATAATATATGAAATATGAATATATTATAATATAATGAATATTAAATGAAAGAAGCAAAACATTTCTAATTCTTTCCAGATTTACAAAACAATTTTTTTTTTTATATAAATATTTTATATATAAAAGATATTTCATTACAAAATATTTTGTTCGAAATATGTCATGTCAGACATCGCACCGAAGGAGTTAAATTAATAAAAAAAATTAGATTAATTTGTCGATTTGAATGATTTCTTTTTATATATATGAAAAACGATCGATTTTTGAGTTACTATATGCTGACTACTATAGGCAAAACATATATTTGCATTGTAACATATATTTCTTATTGTATATTTTAACATAGTCATATTTTTATTTAATTCAACTATCATAAAAAATAACATTATTATTATATTAAAATTATCTTCTAATAAATTATTATTAATTAAACAAAATAATAATGCTCTTATAGTTATAATTATGAAAAATAGCTTTGACAAATTTGAATAGTGATAATAAATATTTACAATAATTAGCAATACAATATAATTAAATTTAACTTAAATTTAGATTTTTAACATTTGAAAGTTATTTTAATTTCATTTTTTTTTACAAGATATATGTTTAAATTCTAAACTTTTTAGCATTTGTTTAGATTAATATTAAATTATTTGTCGCATAATTACTTTAAAAATGACACCATATCGATGATCTTGATCTTAACATATATCAAAGATTATTCTAAATATTTTTTCTTATAATTTTAGCGATTTCTTATAGTTTTCGAAATTTCCAAAAAATAGTTATTATTTGATTAT